ACCGGAGAAAGAGTCACTGCGGATCCATTCATCTCACAACTGGCAAGGAGCAGGATGCACGGAGGTGGGTGTACAGTATGTCCAGGTTCGTTTTCATCTTTATCCAAGCGGTCATGGATCTGGCCTGAGCGGCTGGACAATCTAAAGAGCTCACTTGCAAAGTGCGGAAGTGTTGTTCTGTTTTATTAGCATACCACACATAACTAATGCCTAAAAACCAGTTCAAACTTAAGATCATCTCTGCGATTTCAACACCCGCTAAGAGATCGCATCGAATGCTAGCCATTATATAAGAGCTACTTACTGAGGCTTATACCACTTTAGTATTGCATAACATTTTACTAGTTGTCTAGATGCGTTCTTTAGGCCTTCCATGACCTAAATTCATTTTCCTTTCCATTTACGGGTCCTTTCATAGCGCTGAATATCTTGTAGATGAATGTTTTGGGTATTTTCACTCCTTTTAGATGGGAACCTATCCCTCGCCCGGGCTCAACATTTCAACCAACATCGCAACACTCCTCTCCGGATGTGCGTTCATCTGCTTGGTATGTGTGTTTGCTTCTTTTTTCCTCTTTACTCTCATGATTTCCCTCCTATCCTTTCTACTAGGTGGTTTCAATGCCCATGCTGTTCACCATCATGAACAGCCTTGAGGCGGAGTTGATGGAAGCGCGGATTACCTACGACGAGATGTCGAACATTATGTGGAAGGACCTTATGAGTGAAGGAGATGTACTTAAAAGGACGGCCCGTCAAGCTTGTGAGTGGAAATATGCTTTAGTTCGATTCTTAGTCCATATACTGTCGTAATCACTGAAGTCAGTCGGGGCGTGTCAACGGTAGATGTGGTTTGGCGCAGCGCCACTCCACCTCCCACCACCCGCTGAAGGGCCGAAGCCGCAAACGAATCACTGCGAGGTCGGTTTGGCGGCGTGAGGTCGGTTGGCACCCATGACACGCCCCGACTGACTTTATGGTAGTGGTTGTAAATAGTGAGTAATTTTTTAGACAGAAGTGGTCAGGAGGCCACTTCCCGGTCGGGCGGCGAAACAAATGGAGAGGGCTGGCGATGGTGGAGTAGCCTCACCAGCGCGTCCTCATGGTGGGCCGGAAGGTTCCTCAGGAGCTGCCGCTGGAGGTAATGCTGCAAAAGGAAAGGGAGCAGCAGGTGCAGCTCACAAGTGCCCAGCTGGTCCAAAGGGACCAAAAGGAGCGCCGGGACTCAAAGGTTTGATATATGATTTCCTTATGTTTACAGTATGGTTCACCTTATGGTTTGTTACATTCGAAAAATATCAGATACTTTTAGGACTTGATGGTGAACCCGGAGCACCTGGAGCAAAGGGTAAGGCAGGGCTGTCGGGCAATGCTATCGAAGGCGAAGAATGTCCTCCATGTCCGCAAGGTCCGCCTGGTGAACCAGGATACAAAGGCAAACGTGGTGCTCGTGGGCCAAAGGTCTGTCGTAAGCAGTATCTGTCGAATTCTATAGGCAGATTCGCAACGCATAGTTTAAGGGTGAGAAAGGACCACCTGGACCGCCTGGAATGGATGGAGCCCTTGGTGACCAAGGACCAGATGGCTCACCTGGTCTTCCTGGAGAAGCGGGTCCTCAGGGACAAACAGGTATCACAGGAATGTGACTGGTCATTTATAATTTTTATAATCGCCTCTGGATAACTGTATTATCAGGACCTCCTGGACTGGACGCAAAGGGAACCACGAAGGGCCCTCCTGGTCCAAAAGGTGAGGTCGGTCCTCCAGGAATGGAAGGAGATGAAGGACTGCCGGGAGAGCGCGGAGATGATGCACCTGCAGGACCCCAAGGCCCTCCAGGACCAATGGTGAGCTTTAGCGAGTTCTTCTAGTCTAGTCTAGTCTGCATTTGGTGTGAGGCGTTTCATATGAATATCTCCGAGAAAATTTATATTGCTTGTTTCAACTGCCACAAGGGTTCGTTCAGGGAGTACCTGGTGAAGAAGGCGCTGCTGGTTTTCCTGGTCATCCTGGCAAACCTGGAAGGAATGGCGCCGACGCCGAATACTGTATTTGTCCAAAGCGAAAGGAGAAAGGATACCAACTCCCTGAGGAACCTTACAAGATACCTGAAGAACCTCCAAGCGAATCGCCTCATCAGAGCAGCGGAGCCGGCTACAGATGCTCCTACTTACGCAGGCACAACAGAGCCAGCTGATATAGCGCCCCCAGGAAGACCATCTTCGCATACACGTGGCAATACTGCAGTAGCTCCAGAACATCCTCAGGCCGCGGAAGCATCAGCCGGTGGTGAGCACCAGCCAGGGGAAGGAGCGCCTAGTGCAGCCGTTGGAGTGTTAGTAGCTGTCAGTGAATCACCACTGCCAGCTGGAACAGGAAATACAGTGACCAAACCGGTATGATTTCAGTCTTATTTGCTTTTGTTTTTACTTCTGTTATTTATTAACTTATTTCACCTCACCGCAAGCCCTCTTCTCAATGAATTGTTCAGATCACAATAGTGTCTGAGCCACAAGGTGTTCAAGTGTCCGTAGGTGATTACAAAACAAAGGTGGGAAAAGCTCACTTTTTGAGATATAGTAGAGTTTGCGGAGGACTTTTTTCAGGATCAAGCACCTGCTAATAAGAAGAAATCTCTTGCTCGAGCTCTGCGCAGAAAACTCGTCTTCAAATCATAGAAGCGGATGCTCGTATTTTGAATAAATCAGTTGGTTACCGTATTTCGTGCATTCTTTGTAAGGAAAATGTAGACAAAACTTTCACAAATTCTGAAAGGAAGCCAGCCACATTTCAAGCAGGGCACGTTGTACGATAAGATCCTTGGCGAGGGGTGATCCCTGGCGAGGGGTCGTCAGTGCCTGTCAGTTGGGAAGAGGTTCGATATTTCGCAACTTTTCTCAACCACAAAAGACGTCCCGTACTTATAATCTGTTCTGTTTTTTTTGAAATTTAGCTTCGTGAGCTTTTCCCTCTCACTTCCACCTGCCAAAAAACTACAAAACTAGAAACTGCTTCCCGTCGCTATTCAACCCAGATGAACTCCCAACCCACCATATGTGATAGCGAATGATCGCGGACTTTGCCTTCAATAGTCTCTCAAGCATTCTTTTATAATGTCAGCAGAAACTTTACAGAAAGGGTACTTCTGCCTTCTGTTTCGGCGGAATGCGGAAAGTAGAAGCTTTTCACTAACAGGTCATTTCCAGCATTCCGTTCCAAGCACGGTTGCCTTAGTCTTCCTACCTTTACCTATCTCATTTGATGAGCAAGTCAGCCTGCAGGTACGATATCACTTCGCTGAATGAGAGTGCAGTTTGAGAACGAAGTGGTCCTGGGGCTCAATCTGACCGCGCCTGCTCAGTCTAGCTCCACCCACTGAATATGAATACCACTCCCATCGTTTCTGCCTCTTACCTTCTTTCGTCTGCGCCCCGGGCAACTCTGCGCATCGATTCACTGTACCCAGAACTGATTGGATTTGACTTTTACAGTGTGGCTCCCACGATGGATTTCCTTTACAATGTGGTTCCCACGCCCTCTAAGAGCGAATTTTGCTTCTAATGTTAGGGGTAATTTAGGGATAACTCAAAAAGAGGCGGGGCCGATCACTGTGCAGCACCTGTAGTATTACATCACCCCATTCCAATTAGTTCAATGTAGAGCACATACGTGAGAGTGAAACGAAACATTTTCACCTATGTGATTGGGAGTACGACGGTAACCGCAAAGGTACAGAGGAAAACGGTAAGGCTGAATCTGTAAAAGTCGGCGTAGGAATATATACGCAGCCGTCGTCTAGCTTGCAACTACAGTCGCGGAAGAAAAACTTGGAACAAGCCCAATAAGATAAAATAAAATGACAATAGTAAGTCTTGAGAAGTTTTTGCATTTGTTCCAAAGCTGAAAATTATTCCAAAGTCACTTTTAATGCCGATTTACTTCATCATTTTTGCTAAATTTAAATCCAAGTCGCGCACTTTTTGATAGCATATGGAAACGTTGTTTGCTCAAATCAAGTACTCCTAAAAAAGGTTCTCCAAAGAAGAGTTACTAGTGTTTTGCTGGTAATTTGTAGCAGCTCTGCTCCATTCGACCGGGCAGCCTCACGGAGGGCCACGGGAGGAGCGACAATGTCTAAAGTTCAGCGAGAATGAAACGCGATCAATCTAGACTCGAAAGCAAGCGCCGCCGAGTTGAAGAGAGTTGGTTCGTTGCAGGGACAGAATTTTGAAGATTACGGCGATGAGGCACTTTGAGGAGGGGGGGACCTGCGGATGGGGTGAGGGCTGCCAATGTAGGAGTCAACTTTTTATCTTCTTAGGCGAGTCTACCTACTGAATAGGTTTCCCCGCAGGCACGAAAACTCGTTGGTCCAGGTCCATCCAATTTTAATATTATTGTACTATAACATTATATTCTTAGCTTCTGACCCTAATACTGGTGTATAAGAAAAGATTAGATGCTTAGAACAAAGGAGAATGCCTTTCCAAGTTTGTTCAAGTTTTTTCCGCTTCTGTAGGCCGTCGAAAACACCCCTCTATGCTTTGTGATATGGAACGGGTGCTTACGTGGTTGAGGGAGCCACAGCCACAGTCTCCACTGCAAGATTAGGATAAGGAAAACTCTGGTCGTCTGCGCTCTATAATCCTAGCATTGGCTGGAGCAAAGGACACAATCGCGGCGCCTTTGTGGTCCTCCTAAACTGCAGTTGTGATCTCCGAAAACGATAGGGCGCAGGACGGCGGCATGGCTTGGAGCGCAGCCAGAGTGGATTTTTCGCCAGTTGTAGCGGACTCAGGATGACATTATTGGTGGAAGATTCCGCCCTGGCTGCGCTCCCAGCTGCGCCGCGTCAAATAGTTTGCATGGATCACCACTATACATTCGCACCCTGGACTATAGAGAAAGGTGGAATTTAATCACACTACACATCAGAATTTTATGAATTGAAGTTATTGAGCGGACAAGCCTGAGAAAAATTTATTTTTACAAGCATTCACAATTATTTCACAAAATTACAAAAAATGGTAATAACCCGTAATAATGATAGAATTCGACCTGAGTTCAGTATAAATATATGTCACACAAAATCGCACATTTGATAGAAGTTAAATAATGTGCTTAACTAGAGATTCATCAGAATAAGAGCTTCATTTGATAGAAATTACTATTTTAAGGCAATTATGGACGAGATTTCATTGATATGTCGTACATATGTGTACGCTCACCATGCAAATATTCTATTTACCAATCCGTAAAACCGTATATTGTGTGGGTGAAGGTTTCTTCGCAGCTTGGCGACGACATCTTCAGCGATTTCGCGATGCGGCCGCCCTTTCGTGCTGCCGAGGCATTTCACACGTGTATGAGGTGTGCGACGGAAGCAGAAGAATCCTTTGCGTTCATTGAAGATCAGCTGATCGTTAGTGATTTTGTGTGGCAGACCAAGGAATGTCTCGACACGGCGTAACTGTAAAGTAATACTTCTTAAGGCTGCAAAGATTATTCTCACAAACAGTTCGGTCATGAATCGGTACGGCCTTCCATACACATCTATCGCCCTACAGGGTACAGCATCGTTGTGTGAAACACATAAGGGGTCATACTTTTCTGCTGGCGAGGGGTTCCAGGTTCCGCTTTGGTAATTAGGAGAGAGAGGGGGTCGTATTTGAGAGAAATTTGCTGCGTTGGGAAGAAAAATTTTCCCGCTTGTACCGCCCCGCTGGGAAGAAAATTTTCCTGCTTGTTGACATTTCGCGTGATTTCGCCTGTTTCATGTTACATATACCCCCCCCCACGCCTTCCCCTAGTCGACGGAAAACTTTTGGGCGAAAAACTGGAAAATGGTAGGTAGGTGATGGAGAAGGGGGGGGACGTACTGACACCCTCTCTCGGAAGGAGTGGGGGTCGTACCTACAGCACCACTTCAAGCGTCACGATGCTGTACCCTATCACCTAGAAGGGATAGAACGGAGATCCTCAAAGCGCTGCTTTAGACGCATTCAGCTCGCAAGCGATCAAATGTTCATGAATATGTCCTCTCCAATCGCCGTGACGCTGTATAGCACATCTTTCATCACAATAACCAAGACTGCACGTTTATTTGGTCCCACAGCTACAGCGCGAAACTGGACTAGTCGCTAGAAGTACCGCCTATAGTTGGTTCAGGGGTAACTGCGCGCCGCGACACTATGCGGCATTTGGGCCGAGATATTAACTTGGTCTACAGTACCCGAGTCGCGCGTGGGGCGACCTGCATGAGTTGGAGCAAGGCTAATTGTAGGACCATTTCAAGACCTCTTCACCGGTTAATTCAAAACAAACTGGCACGCCAATAGTCCCATACCTCATTGATAGGATTTCCACGAAAGACATCGCCATTCACGAGTAATATCTGCTCCATCGAGAAATACCGTAACCAATTGGCCATGTGAAGATCATACAGCGAGTTTCGAACCGGCTTATACTCTGGATTGATTAGCTCGGAATCCGGAAGAAACGCTTCCTTCTCGAATATTGGCAGTGTTTTGTTCTGCTCTAATTTATTATAGTAGACCTAGAAAGTAATTTTTTATATAGATAATAAGATACTCCCTAAAAACCCTTTATGGCAAGAAAGTCATACCTGCGTAAAATCACTAATAGTTCTCTGGGTAGGATCACGGACGATGAGAATAATCCTCATAGCAGGATCCAATTCACGTACTCGTTTTGGGGCCACAGCTGAAGTGAAATAGCCAGGGGTTTTCTCCACAACTACCTATAACAGCTTACATTAGCCTCGGATATAGTTTCACGGAAAAAAATGTGCAATTGGAAGCTTAAGACGTTTCAAATATTCTCTGTTTTTCCCCAGAGAGCCATTGAATAAGTACGGATAGAGTATTAATTACTGTGTCAGTCGTCATTCGTGTAGTATTGCAGTGATTCACTACGAACTTTGAAGGCAGTTTTCACGATAAAATCCCCAAGACGAGTAGGACTAACAAGCCTGGCAGGACGGAATGTCGCGACTCTGAGCAGGAGCTGCGCAACACCTTTCTCAAGGGAGGTATCCCTTATAAGGTCCAATCAAGCTACAACATACCGACCGATTGCCCTCCGCGCCGCCCGCCCACAAATGGACGACCGTACCTGATGCTCGTATTGCTTCATTCGCTAAGCAAAATATGAAGCAAATCGTTTGATATGAAGCGGCCGCGGTGCTGCATGAATACATGAGTACATATGTGCAGCCGTCCCTACCACAGCTGTTATTGGCAAGATGACTACGAGAAACTCGTCCAAAATTGCTTTTCGAGTCAAGAGTTAAAAAAAGAAGGCTTTCCTTTGCCGGTTTTCGACCGCTTCAATTCGTTCTTTCGCCATTTTCTTCAACGTGTAGGGCCCTGCTAGCATTTTAGGCCAAGTACAGAATTATCGTGCAAACTACCTTTAATGACATATTCCGCGAAAACCAGGAGGGCGGAGAAACGGGCGGGGACTCATTGCAATTGTATCAAGGCGCGCCTCTCTCTCTTCCGTACTTGAAGGAGGGGCCGAACTACTACAAGGGCGCTATGGCCGCGAGTCCCGCGGATTTCTCAACTCATCAAAGTCGCGCAAATTATCTTGAAAACCAAAACAAGTGATAATATTTCGCCGATGAATGTATGAGAAACCTGATTAATAATACAAGAGGACTGCAAAATTACCTGATCGGGAGTGCTGAGCGGCATCATCGATCGATACCAATCGATACCCTTAGAATAGTTCAAATCGAAAAAGTGGGCTTCTTTTCGAACGACTCGAATATTTGGATGCAGGGCCATTGCGTCGAGTAGAGCTCGAGTGCCACCTTTTCTCACGCCGATAATAAGAACCGTCGGCAACCGTCGCGTTTCAGATCTATGAATTTAACAGTGAGTGAATTTCTTCTCTCGTGCAAACAGTTCGATTCGATTTCCATGCGAACTAGCAGTAACATTTTACCGTAACCGACAGTGAAGGACGAGTTTATCGATGTCCATTGAGTTCTATGCCTTTTCATTCGTAAATCTTTCTAACTCACCTATCCAGGATCGGAGTATAGCTCTGAATAGACGTTCGGAGGCGGTCGTCCATGACGCTGCCGTATGAGAACGCCAATATGGCCATCTGCACCATCACCAGTACTACCAACATCAAACACGAAAGTGACGAGACATTCGTGATCACATGGCTTCATCACGAAGTTCTCATCTGAAAATTGATGAAATGGATTCTGTACTCGGCATTTACAGTCCATATCCGGAGATGGCAAGGGCGTGGCCGGTTCATATGAACGTGGCGGCCACTGCTCTTTCTGGTGGGATGTTCTGCTTCAGGGCAATTGTCTTTGCTGTCTTCTACAAAATAGGGTACCAGTTCAAATGGAAATTGACGACGAGAACGCATACTCCGACAACTTCAGATGAAGTGCGCAGCCACGCCCATTCGCTTTGGGATATGGAATGTTCATTACGTATGGAAAAATAGAAGTGGGCACGAGCCGAATTCGATACACCAAACGTCGATGAAAGTGCATAACTGTGGAAATAATAAGAAGGATAGGAATGAGCCTATAAGCAGAGGGCATAGCTATAAATCTGGATTTGATGAGGCATTGAGGATTGCATGAACTTGTCACGAAAAATTTCATCAATTTCAAAAATGGAGCAATCTGGGAGAGGTCGTCATAACGATAGTATCATTAGTGGATGGTTTTTCATAGGTTATGAAAGAAGTGTTCTATTGCTAGACCTTTTTACTTCTTTTCCAGTGCTTGAAGACTCATTCCGCGATTTCCTAACGAACGATAAGGCGGGCGGAGAACCAGAACCCTTGGTTCTTCTTAAATGATTATCCCTGAAGAATAGGAGACGCATCAGTAAAGAACGTAGCGCTTACGAGATTTCACCCATTTAACGCCCTCCAGCAGTCGTGCAAGCCTCCCGGTAGGTCAGTCCGCACACGCAAGCAGAATATCTCACTCTGGCGACGGTAAAAATGTCTAATAAAACTTACTCCCATTCAACTAATAGCTCTTCTCAACTAGGTTTGTAAACAGCCGCATTTCAGTGATTGCTAGGGCCAAACAAATTTTAAATATATTATTCGAAAATGGTGGGAATCTAACAAGATATCAATTCAAAAAGGTTTTACGACTCCGTCAAAACGACTAACTCATAGAAAATTGACAGTCCTTCGAAAAATCCTCATTCATATCAAAAATATGCGTTAATGATATCTGCAAAAAAGAAAACCCAGTATGACTGGATGACTTGCCACCCTCTCCCCCACCCCCTCTGGGTTGCTACATTCAGCCACTGATTCGACCTTTCACACCACCGTTCTCAAAGGCTGAGCACGGCCTAAATTCAAAGCTTTCGACTATATTAGATGATCCGATAGGCGATTGTAGTGGCAGCACTACTCGAAAAGAGTGAAAATTTGCAAGCATATTGGATGCTGAACATTTTGGCCCAGGCCGACCCCCAGAGGCTACTATCTACTAGGTAGGAGCCCCTCTACTCGCTCTCTTCTTTGGAATGATGATTGGTTATAAGGGAAAAGAGGCGATATCGTAACGATAAAAACAAGTGAGAATTCCTACAAAAACGCCCTCTCTTTAGCGTGTGCACGTACGAGCTGACGTCGATAGGGGGGGGGTCAAGTATAGGCATCCCCGACGATTTTTTTTCGCTTTTTCTTCACTACTCGTTACTCAGTACCTTGCTTGTTCGTATCTGAGCTCCATTATATATTACAATCTGCGACCGCGGGCTTTGTCCTTAAATTCCAAAGAGTTCCCACACTTACATCGGACGTCTCCTCTGTTCTGGTACTTTTGATGTCGTCTCATGTGGACAAGAAAATCTAGAGACTGAGCTAGAGGGGGCTCAAAATAGGGATCAACGAAATCTTTACAGGCCACCCCGTGGAAAAGTTGTGCGTTCCTGTCATGGAAGTGAGTCACTTTTGCCACTTCTCAGCTTCATGAGAGGTTACTGGTAAATGTCAACATGATCTCGCACAAGAAACCAGCGAGAATGCCCTCCCCTATGCCGAAAAGCGCCCGGCAGGATAGTGAAAGATGAGTTCACCTGAGAATTTGCCATCAGAGTGCAGCGGAGGGCTACATTCGTTAATAGTACATCAGTTAGCGAATGAGTGATGTATTGCTGTCCTCGTAAAATTACAATTTTTAGGGCAAGCCAGTTTAGTTGCACGACATGAATATTATCGTTATATAAGGACAGCACAGAGTAATGGCCACTCACTAAATAGCGTGCTGGCAATAAAATGTAGCGCTCCCCTCTAGTGGTAGAAATTAGAGCTAGCTTTGGTTCTACGCTCTGAGTACTTTCACACTCTTCTAACAAGACATCGCAAATTCCAGAGTAATGGAGACTAGACTACAGAATAGTTCTGTTTCATGTAATGGTCGAGCTACTCTCCATACAAGAGGGGGGGGGGCAAAAAAAGTCACTTTTCTTCCTTGACTTTCGAGGCGCTATAAGTTACACTTTATTAAATTCTGATCGGACATTTCTACCACATATTCAACAGCATATTAAATACTATTATGATACTCCGCCACAGCCTTCTGGAGGAGCGCCATCGAGAGATTCTGCCACGCGACCGTGATTCGGTGCCTGAGTTCAGCGAGATCGTTGATTTCTCCTGTACCTGTACCTCCCCCTCACCAGAATCAAGCATTGAAAAATGAAGAATATATCAGGAAAGGAACGTCAATAGGAGAGATCATCCTTAACAGGGTAATCCGTCAGTACACCTAAACGCATTACTGTGGAAACCCTCGAGCTGGGAAGGTGGAGGGAATATCTTCCACTAGCCATCAGATATACTAAAATTCAGACATCACTGAGCCATGTATTCAAGAGCACTCCTACTCGGCTACAAGTTTCGATAACGGCAAACTTATTAAGTGCTTTGGCTATCGAAATCCTCGGACCAACATCAGCAGAGGATTGAAGAGAGCATGGCAACGACAACTCGTTAAAAATTCGGGTGAAATGTTGGCGATGTTGAGTAATGAGACATATTGATATGTAACAACATCAGTGCTATCCGGACAGCTGCCCGACCAGACGAATGTAATGATTCCCACGAAATCGCCTGCAATTCACACCGTTATTAGGCGCTCAGATGCCTTAACAAGATGGATTGAAGGTCATTACACCGCTCGCTGAGCTTCGTTAGCTTACAAAAGGCAAGTTGCTACTTCGGTCATGATTACTACAGGGGAGTTCTTCAAAATTACTAGAAAATTTTGAAAATTGAATTTAATCACCAGAAAGGGTTACGAGAATTCTTGCAGCTTGTCTGACGGATGAAGAGTTCACCCCTCCCTTCCCCCCCCCCCCCAGGCTCACGGGCCACTGGTTCTCGATTTCTTTCTATACTGATTACTTGACGCGTGATATAAAATATTAATTAGTGCTGAAATCCATCAATCGGTCTTCTTTTCTTACCAAGAGAAACTAGTTCATTTCTTCCAGTAACCCTCACAAATCAATGACAATCAATTATCGATTGATACATGTTGCTCTATACAGTAATAAGCTATTACGTCTGCGACAGTGGATAATTCAGCAAGAGGTAGGCAACGAAGGAGAAGGAACGTTGCATAAGAAGGTCTCAGAGCTCTCCCCTGCCCTCCCCCTCCCCGCGGAGTCTAAATTTACCCAGTGCCGCCCATATGTGATAACCGTTTCCGATTCCAATTCCATATAGCCCGGATTCATATAAGAACACTCGTAGCAATATCAAGAACGACCGCCGCCCCTTCAAGTGTTTGCCGCCTTCTGAAGAGCACCACGAGATAGTATGGTGGGTGAGTAAACACAGGAGATCATAGAGGATATAACTCGCCCTCTTGAGAATGCTGGGCTACATAAATGAGGGCGGTAATCTGTCAGTAGCGTAATTACGGTCGCAAACACGATACTACTCTGATCAGACACCATCAAGCAAACATACGGATACCATAGCTTCCGTCGGATCTCTTACAGAGACCAACTCACCCTCGGCGGAGCTTGCTCGACACTGTTGGGACCCCAAAACCCGACCAATTTTTCGCAGGAATATAGGCCTAGCGATAATAATCCGATGCACTGTAATGACTATCACGCTCTTTTTTTGGGCAATGATATCAGTTTGGCGCTACGATCCATTTCACAGAGGCGCAATAAACATTTTGTGTAGTTATCACAAGAATGCTGAGTTATGGGCAAAAGTCGTGCCCCAGGCGGGAGTCGAACCCGCACCTCACGCTTTCCGGGCGAGTGCGCTATCCATAACAAAACAGCTTCAAAAATTTTGTGTAGTCTCGGGTCCTGACCATGAATATGACGATAGCGTTGGCTCCTAAAGTCAAGTCCCACAAGTAAGTGTAAAGGGTAGTTGCTCACTCATAAGTCCGTGGTCCCTGAGTGACTCTCCAGTAAGGGAAACACGAAACAATGTGAGGATGACCCTAGCGAAGACCCCTTGGCAGTCGCAAGTCTCATTGTACGAGTTTTTCGGACTCGCTGCTAAATAGACAGGCTGCGGCATGTGGCCAACAAATTAAACTTTCCCATAATCCAGAACT